TTGAGTTATTGCCTCTTACGAGGCAGTGGTCTCTGCCACTTAAATCTCAAAATGAAGTTGGAAGTAATTTTAGCGAAGTGGGAAATCGGGCCCTCTTGAAAGTGCTGACTTTAAAAGATGGCAGCAGGACAGGGAAGGAAATAAAGAAAACAGGTCATGAAAAACTCCTGAGCTTGGAAAGGCCTCCATAAGATTGGTCATTGTGTCTTTCTGGTTTCCTGCCCGTACCTCTGCTTGGAACGACCTGGTCTAGTGGAAGGTGTCCCTGCCCATGGCAGGGGGGTTGGAATGCGGTGATCTTTAAGGTCCCTTCCAACACTATCCATTCTGTGATTCTATGATTCTATGAAAACACGGAAGAGTATTTCTTAATTTTAAGATTTTTAACTCAGCAGCTTGAAGATGTGATCTTCACCAGATGTATGGAAAGTCAGAACACAGAACTAAAAAGGTTGAGATCTGGGCTCTATAGCTTCCTCATCCTTCTCAGTACTTCACAGTGCATCCATGTTGCACTCCGGATTAAGCTATAAACTGCCCAGAGTTGTTACATTTTTTATTTAAGACTTTTTAAAAACCTTTTGGTTTGTTATAACCTCTAATTAGTGTCTGGAGAAAGAGTTACACACTCTTCTCTAAGAGAAATTCTTTTTAATTTAGTGAGAAAAATAAGATATTTTGGCAAAAGGTTTATACAGGAGTAAAATACAACCAAGAAAAAAGCATTTCACTAAAACATTCAGCACAAAGACCCATTCCACAGGAAACACCCACTAAAACAATCCATATACCAGCTTTAGTAAAAGACAGTTCATTGGTTTTAAGTTACCCAGAAGAGAAGGAAAAAAGAAAACAGATTAAAAGGGGTAAAGAAAGAGAGAAGAAAGAGAGAAGGAGAGAGAAAAAGGAGAATAGTTACTGACAAGATCCGATGTTTAATATGGTGCGGGCTGGAGAGGGAGAAGAGAGAAGAGGAGAAGAGGGAGACCGCATGGAGTCTCATGTATTTATAGAGTTCAGTTTTCCCTCCCAGGCAGGATATCCAGTCAGTGCCTTCCAGGCCAGAGTGAGTTGTGCTGTAGCCAGTCACAGGCTGCAGGTCTGCCTTGACTGACAGCCCGGCTGCAGGGCCTTCAGCTCTGCCCTGGGCTCTGCGTGGGCAGCAGGCCTTGCCTTCAGCTCTGCCCTGTGCCCTCAGCACAGGCCTCGTGTGCAGATCTCACCGTGTTCCTGCAGGTCCAGGCCCAGCCCTTCCCCACACACACACTCACAGTGAGTTGGTTCCGACCCATACCAATAATTCAGTGAGATTTGGATCCAGGATCTCACAATCTACAAAGTAACTCTTCCAAATGCTAGCATACCACACCAGCTAAAGTTGTGGAAATACTGCCAATCCTCATCTCTCCTTGCTGAACCTGGACTGTCAGAGAGGCAAGAATGCAAAGTATTCAGGGCTAAAAGAAAAGAGACAGTGTCATTCTATGGTTTATTTATATAAAAATATATGGCATTTATTTAAAAAGAATAGAGTTGAGGGGCCTGTTTATTTGTCTCCAGGCAAGTTCAATTAAAACCAAAACAAAACTATCCAAAATCCTTTGGAAGATGAACCGTAAACCCCAGGACTGCTATCAGTAACTCAAGAGGCTGAGATCTGTGCTGAAGATCTGAATACTTCATTGACCATGCTAGCTAGAAGGGTGCTTTGGTTTCATCAGATGGAAATTCTGGTGAACATGCTTTTATATGAGATAAGTTTAACAGCTCTTTCCCGTGGTTTGGTTTTGGTTAGTTTACTGTGTACTTTTATGTGTACTTTGGCTGTTAGTCCTGAAGAGAGGCCTGTTCCTTAACAAAAACAAATTAGTGACCTGCTCTTTCTAAATGACTTTCAATAATAAACATTAGGCTGTCACCTTCACATCAGTTTCCCTTGCTCTGACATCTAACGGTATAGTTAGAATATGAATATATAACTATATAATATAAATACAACTGCCTTCTGCTTACAGATGACAGTTTTGTTCTCTCATCTTCTCTCCAAACATCCTTAGTGCCAACTCTGATCACAAAATAAGCTAATTCACAATGAACTGCTGAAAACTACTAGTTCTCTTCCAAGTGCTGTCTTCTCTGAATTAACAAGTTAAAGTGGCTCACTGATTAATATCAGTGCTTGTGCAAGGGAGCAGGGAAAGCAATTAGCAATTAGCAGGATTATGCAGAGTGGGACCTCTCCTTTTCTCCCCTTCTGTGACAGCAAGATCACTCAAGATGTACCACACAACTGCATTGGAGGGCTGTTCTAACTAGCATTGATTCCCTGATGGTATTTGTCTTTATGCACATACAACCCTTCTCTCTGCTGTTCTGCAGTCAGGTTAAGGGCTGTATTCAACCGACTGGGGAGTCTTGGCCTGCTAGAGACTCTGCAGGCCTCCCTCCCTGGAGAGGACACCTTATCCATACATGGTGCTGAAGCTGCTGAGGGAAAAGGCCAGATCACTGGATTAGAAAGAGAACAGTTATAAACGTCATTCTGGGAGGCTGGCTGTTAAAGACGATCTTTAGACCACAGAAGACACACTGTGTATCTGCATTTGATTGTGTTCCAACAGCCATATGCATTTTACTCAGTGATCACTGCATGTGAAACCCATCCATCAGAGACGTGCCTTGGAACAGGCCCTGTCTCCCTGAGTCTCAAGCCCAATAAAAAACTAAGTACCCAGTGTCAAGGTAGTACTTCGTGGTGCTGTCTTGGTGCTCCCAAGCCAGGAAGGAGAGCCTCCCCTTGGTTATGAACTGCCTGCTGCTGTCTGTCTGTACGCATCAGGCATACCTCCCCTGCCCCCATGGCATGATCAGTCCTGCTCAGTCCCACACTCCCAGCCACTCTGCTCTCCAGAAGGAGGTCTGCCCACACTTCCTTTTTCTCTCAATTACTCCTCAAAATCCACTCTTTTATTTCTGTGGGAACTGGGCTGCACTTCTCCAAACAGATGAGCTGGGGCATAGAGCAGGACAGACGACACGGTGTTAGTGAGAAACCGCTGCGGCGCAGAGATGAAGAGCACAACAGAGAGGGCACCTCATCAATGTGTCTATCAGTATCTGAAGGGAGGGTGTCAAGAGCATGGAGCCAGGCTATTCTCAGTGATGCCAGCTGTAGTGGGTTTCTGTGGCTGGGTTTTGAGGGGGGGGGAGGGCTACAGGGGTGACTTCCACTAGAAGCTGCTAGAAGCTTCCTCTGTCCGGTGGAGCCAATGCCTGGAGCCGGCTCCAGGACGGACTCCCTGCCGCTAGCCAAGGCAATTAGGAGTAATATTAACACCTCTGTGATAACATATTTAAGAACAGAAGTTTGTGGCACAGAAAGAATTCCAGCCAGGGAAGAGTGGAGTGAGAACATGGGAACAACAAGGTAGACACCAAGGTCAGTGCAGAAGGAGGGGGAGGAGGTGCTCCAGGCGCCGGAGCTGAGGCTCCTGCAGCCTGTGATGCAGACCATGGTGGAGCAGCTGTGCTCCTGCAGCCCATGGAGGACCATCGGGGTGCAGAGATCCATCTGCAGCCCATGGAAAAGCCCATGCTGGAGCAGGTGGATGCAGGAAGGAGGCTGTGACCCTGTGGGAGGCCCAAGATGGAGCAAGGTCCTGCTGGAGACCTGCAGCCCATAGAGAGGGAGGCCCACGCTGGAGCAGGTTTTTCCTGTGTAGGACTTGGGGCCCCTGTTGGGGACCCACACCGGTACAGCTCATTTGTGATGGACTGAACCCCATGGAGGAGTGACCCACAGGCCAGCAGTTTGGGAAGAACTGCTGCCTGAGGGATGGATTCACGCCGGAGAGGTCCATCAAGGACTATCTCCCGTGGGGGAGCAGGGAAAGAACTCCTCTCTCTGAGCAGCGGCAGAAACAACTGACCGTAACCCCCATTCCCCATCCCCCTGCACCGCTGGGGGGAAGGAGGGAGAACATGGAAGGAAGGAGGGGTGGGGGGAAGGTGTTTTTAAGATTGTTTTATTTCTCACTCTTTGGATCTTATCCTGTTAGTGATAAATTTAAGTAATATCCCCACTTCGAGTCTGTTTTGCCCGTGAAGGTAATCAGTAAGTGACCTCTCCCAGCTGTTATCTCAACTCATGAACCCTTAGCTGTCCAGTTGCATAGGGAGAGTGACAGAGTGGCTTTTGTGGGTACCTGATATCCGGCCAGGGTCAACCCACTACACCAACCAATAGAATAAGAGGCAACGGGTAGCAATTGACGCACGCGAAGTTCCACCTGAACGTGAGGAAGAACTTCTTTACTGTGCGAGTGACTCTGCACTGGAACAGATTGCCCGGAGAGGCTGTGAAGTCTCCCCCACTGGAGATATTCAAGAACCGTCTGGACGCAACCCTGTGCAATGTGCTCTAGGACGGCCCTGCTTGACCAGGGAGGCTGGATAAGACGACCCATTCTGTGAGATACGGAGGAGATGCCGAACATGCACCCGCTTCCAGCAGGACATCCAGCTGCTCTCCCGCCCCGGGGCCACGCACAAGGACAGCCGCTCTGGACGCGCCGGCGCAGGCGGGCGGGCGGCCGGGGCGGGGGAAGCATTCCCAATCCCCTTTCCCTCCCGCTCCCCGCGCATGTGCGGTTGCCAGGGCGGCCGTCTCCGGTGAAGGTTTAAAATCTGCGGGACATGCGCAGTGCCCGTTCTGGCCCGGGCGAGGGGGACACGCCACATTGGAACGGCGAGAGGAGCGCTCCGGGCAGCGCCGGGTACAGTTCGCGCCGCCTCCGCTTCCTCTCGAGCCGCGCTCGCCTCGCCCGGCTCTGCGTCCAGCCGCTCTCCCTCCTCCCTCCCCGCGACACATGAGGCCGCTGCCGGCCCGCGCCTAGCGCCGCTGCCGGGCCGAGCGAGCGAGCGAGCGGGGGAGCGGGCGGCGAGCGGGCGGCGGCGCAGCGCTCTGGCCGGGCGGTGAGGGGCGGCGGCGGCGGGCGGGCGTGGATGGATCCCCGCGTGGCCTGGATCCAGCCCGAGCAGAAAGGACCCGCGAATGCGCTGTGGATGCAGATCTGGGAGACCTCGCAGGGCGTGGGGGGCCGGGGCGGCGCCAGCTTCCCGCACTACCTCTGCCTCAACTCCCCGGCGCTGGACTCCGCCGCCTCTCCGCCCCGCGGGCACGGCTGCGTGCGGCTCGGAGCGCCCGGCGACTGCTGCTCCTCGTCGTCGCCGCCTTCGCCCTCGCCTTCCCCGCCGGCCCTGCTGACCGGACTGGTGCCCGCTGCCCCCGCCGGCCCCGCGGCGGTGAACGGTGGCGGCGGCGAGGGAGGGCGGCGGCTGCAGAAGTCGCCGTCCGTGTCTTCCTCGTCCTCCTGCTCGTCGGTGGAGTCCGGCACCGAGAGCCCCGGCTTCTCCTCCTCGGGATCGTGCAGCGGCGGCGGAGGCGGCGGCTCCTCCTCTTCCTCCTGCGGCCCCCGGGCGGTGGCGGTGGCTCCTCCCGGGCTGCTGGGCAGCGGGGCCGGACCCGGGGAGTTTTTTAACTTCCACGAGAACAAAGTGAACGCTGTGAACGGGCACCACCAGCCGCCGCACCTGGCGCGCAGCCCCCACCCGCAGCCGGCGTCTCCCCAGCAGCACCAGTACCACCCGGGCCGCAGGAAACGGGAGAATAAAGCCAGCACCTATGGGATGAATTACCTGCTCTCGGGCAGCCGCGGCGTCACCGTCAACAACTCCCCGCACCAGCAGCGGCAGCCGCCTCAGCCGGCGCTTCAAAGCCCCGGCACTCCTTGGAAGACCAGGAAATACAGTCCCGGCGTGCAGGGGTGAGCAGCCGTGGCGCCTCCGAGCTCGGGGGCGTTGGGTTGGGGTCACATGAACTCCTCTGGAGCCGGCCGCCGCAGCGAGGCCAAGGGTAGGAGGCGGCGGGGCACAAACCCATGCTCTTTCATAAATCACCGTGCTCTTTTATAAATCACCTTACTCTGTGCCGGCCGGGTGGCTCCTGGACGAAGTAGCGATTCGGACAGGACCAGGGAAGCCATGGATACAGGGGGTTAGGCCTTGCTTTGTAGTAGGTTGAGAGGTGAAATTACCAGGCCAATATCAGAGGTCACCTACAATAAATAAAGGAAGGATGGGTGAGGGATGCTTGTCAAAGCTCCCAGGGGCCAATCCATATTGTAAGGGAAAAGTGGAAGGCTTCAGTTCAGTGGAAATCAAAGAACACCTTTGTACTCATTTTTAAATGCCTCTGCTTAGGCTGTAGCAAGCTGGTTAGCTCAAGGAGTGTTAGGAACATCACTTGAAAGGGAGGTGCTGAGTTCTGTCTGAAATAAGCATGAAAGTCGTTGTGGTCTTAAAACATGTCTCTCAAGTGTGTTCTAGTGCTAGCATGGGTTGAGCCAGCCAGTATCTGAACTGAAATCTTGTCTTTCGAAAGAGAACACTTTTATGAAGTTTACCCTATTCTGTGGCCATACCTTTCTCATATAAATAGGTGGGTAGTAAGGCCGAGTATTCAGCTTGATCTTATTGGCATGGAGAAGGGACTAAACTTGAACAAAGCCCCTCTGGGACGCTCAGTGTGCTTGCTATATTTCACCTGTCAAATTTCATTCAGTCAAGGCAAAATGTTGCTTTCTAACATTAAGGTTATTTTATTCTTGGAAAAAGTGCTAGCTGCCTTGACTGACCATAGCAGATTTCTGATGTCATTTCAAAAATGGTTTCTTGCAACTCCTAAAATCCAAGACCCTTGGATACCTGTGGAGTAAAGGCACTGCATGTTTGTATAGGAGAAATAGCTAAAGATAACAGGATGCCCTTTGAGAACTGGGAATTTTTAAGTGAGAGATTTAACTTAAGAACAGTGTCTTCCTTTTTTGTGTGCTACTGTCAGGTGTTGAGTACACTAAAGTTATTCTGAAGTATTAAAAGATATTTTTAAAGTTCTGGTTTTGTAAACCAAGGCTTCTCCTAGGAAGGACAAGACTTGTGACTGCTGCTTTTTAATTCCAGACTGACACTGCAAATTCAAATTACTTACAGGAAGCTAGAATTGGAATCTTTAAGAGGGTTCTTATGCTAGAAGCACTGGGCCCTATACTATATATTCAGATGTATGTCTAAAATTCCAGCAGTATCTTAAAAATAGTGTGAATTTTTTGTTTTATTTTCAAAGAGATGCAGTAGAGCTCTGAGTTAACTTTTTAATTTATCTGTGTAAGGCAAGTCAATGTCAGTGAGGCAGATCTCCAGGCAGGCAGAGGAGGGAGCTGCCTAAGGTCACCCAGCAGATCTATGGCAAACCTGGGAATCAAATCCAGGCATTGCAGGTTCTGTCTTGTAGTTTTTAGGCAGCACCACCTATGCCAATCATATGGATTTACGTTTAATCTTTTGCCCTTTTGTTTTCTGTTAGCTTTCCTTTAATATTGGTTATGCCACTCTTCAAGTATAACTTTATAGAGAATCCATACGTGAGAAAATTGTTTAGCCGAGATCCAATTGCACTGTTCAGTTCTGTAAACACGGGTAGTTCTTTTGCTGATATGTTAGTGAGAAGTCTTGCTAAAAAGCTTTGAAAGTGGAAGGTGTGTTTCCTGATCTTCTGTCAAGGATCTGTGTTACTACAGTGGGACCTGATTCTAGGAGTGGAGTATCAGTAACCTACAGCATATGTGATCCTTTAGTTCCAGAGCCTTCCTTAAAGTAGCAGGGAGCTAGTGCTGAAAGAGAGCATCAATGTTGAAACCATAGACCTAATATGAGAAGGAGTTTCTGCCTTAGAGTTCTGTTACCCAAGGTGAATCTTGGACAAGTGTGTATTCTAGAACAATTTTCTGTTTGGTGCTACTAATTTTTTATTAATTACTTATATGATTTAAATAAGAGTACTGTCACTGATAGGGTGGATTTAGGTATCTGTCTTCTGTAGTAAGTCATGACTACTGGTGAGTTTAACATAATTTTCCTAAAGCCTGACTGGTGTAGGCGATCCAAATAAAAATTACAGTGTAAAGGCTGGAGTGGGAACAGATCCCTGCAGGACTTTCTTGTGGGTCCTTTATATTCCTGTTTAGCTGCCTGCTGTTCCTTGGAACTGTCAGCCTGGTCCTGAAGCATCACTTCGATATCTCATGACCTATTGATAGAGCATCTTCGGTGGTGCCAAACTGGTGTATTCAACTGTTGACAAATGTAATCCTTAAAATCTTCAGTTGCAATCTGGTTTGGGCATCAATTATAGGAAGAAAGACTTGATCATAGATGCTATTATGCTTACACTATGCATGAATGGTAGAGCTTATTCTGCTGTGAATATTGCTATCAAAAGAATGTTTTTCTGCAACATGCTGAAATTTCTAAGTAATGTACAGTAGCTCACGGTGTTACTGTGTTGTCTTTTGGTAACAGACTAAGAAGGGTAATCTCTGTTTGCCCTCTCCCAGGCTGCAGCAGTACTTTTGATGAATCGTTTGCGTGCTTTGAAACAGTACTGTGCTCTCTCTGCTTTTGCATTCAGAGCTGGAGATGGTCTGTAGCAGTGCAAGTCATAGTAGTTTTTTCTCAAGTTGCTCATAGTCAGTGACTTTGTGATGGTAAGTGTGGTGATGTTTAGGAACTTTGTATGCTATAAAGTCTGTGTTTTACTCTGGTTTTATACAGCATTCCTTTTCTTCCAGTGGACTCATGCTTTCAGCACTTTTTGACAGCAGCATGGCAATCTTTGAAAAGGAAATTTTCTTATAAAACACAAGTGTGAGTAGCTGTGCTTGATTAGACTTCATCCCAAAGCTATACTTTTAGATACCCTAGATTGTTCTGTATCATACTTTTACAGAATTTTGGAAGGTAAGGTGTGAGGAGATTGAAGCACTGGAATAATATGGCTTCAGCAGAGAGATTAATACGGCAAAAGTGCAAATTCCTATGTGCCTGGGTTTAGTTTAGGACTACAGATGACAAAATGATTGTTTTCAGATGCAAGGCAGAGAAGTTTTCTTTAATATTATGAGGTTAGTTCATACTGTTGTGACTGATGTTCAGAGCTACATGTTGTTTCTTGGTACTGTGAAATATTCTCTTGTGTGGTTTAAAACTATGCTTAACATCTTAGGGTTTGAATTCTTTGTTAAGCAAATACCTCCTGTTTCTGTAAAGACAGTATCTTAAATATAAGCATCCAGAGAGTTTAAAGGTGCTCAAATTTTATTTCATAATATGGCATCAAACTATTCTAAACTTTTTACTAAGGACTCACAGGTCCCACATTTGGACACAGAGCTAATAAGAATGCTTTCTCATAAGATGTAGTGAATAGCTTATGACTCGTATAAAGTCATATCAGATTTAATTATTTTGTTCCTTAGTATGAATTTAATTAATTAAGTAAAGAATTAAAGCATTTTTAACAATATGAGGCTGTTGTGCTTAATGCTTTCAACTAAATGTTCAGACTAATTGTAGATGTTGAATGAGATTAGCAGTGAAATACCTGGCATATCTGCTTGGCACATTACAGTGCTGTGCAGAAACAACAGAACTGGCTTGTTGAGGATTAGTTTGGGTACCAGAACTGTTATGATATGTTGGAATGGTGCTCTGCCTGGACTAATTAGTGTTGCATAGTGTCTGATGACTTACTGCATTCGTTTTTCCCCCTACATAGCTGGTTGTCTTTAATCATCTCTTGATAATGACACAGAAATTCTGCTGTAGAGCACAAGAGTGCAAAGACCTCTGCATTTCCTTAGGCTGAAGGAGGATTCAGGCCAGCATTCCCTGACGACCACAGCAGGTACCTAGGGGGAATTCTCATAAGCAAGGTAAGCTTATGACAATGCTTCCCCAGAAGACTTGCTTTAGTGTTCTCCAGTTTGCAGCTGAATGATACTGTGTAAAAAAAGTGATCTCTAGAGGTGTGGTGGTGCTACTGTATGTTAAGTCTGTATTAGGTTTTCTTTATTTCTTCACCTGTGTGAAGTGTTTCTAATTCCCATCTTACAGGGTTTTTTGCTTTTTTGGTATATTGCTGAACTTTGACCAGGATAAATTAGGGGATTGTGGAAGGCACTGTTAGAAATGCATTGCTTCAGGACCTTGCATAGCTTCAGTTGCGTGTTTGTCAACCCTTGCGTCTTATTATGCTGCTGTCAGAGCTGTCAGATGTAAACTAATGTGTAGGGATGCCCCATTGTTAGCCCCTTTTGCAAATTTTGTTTTCTCGTACTTTGAGCTGGAAGAATGTAGACTTTGGAACCTCTATGATGCCTTTAGTGTCTGCACTGGAGTGTCCAGCTTTTGTAAGGGCTTTAAGGGTTTCTCAAGGGTGGTTATTCTTAACTTATCCCCATAGTTAACAGTGCTGTCTTGCTCCAACACCTTCTGATAAAGAATCAACACAGTAGGCTATGCTTCATCCACACTACTGTTAAATCCATGGTGTTTGCTGTCTCCAGTGTTAGGTGGGTACCTGTAGTGGAGGCGTTAATGTAGGAGGCAGGTAGCACTGGTGCTGTACACTCAATTCTTGTTTTGTTTGACTACAAGATCAGGGCAGAACTAGGCAGTATATACCGTAGTATGAGGTATATATCCTTGCGTGGGAGTAGTTGGTTGTTAGTCACAGTAAATTTCTGGAGAGAGCAGCGGGATGTAGTTGAATGGATTGTTTTCATGCCTAGAGGCTGGTACACAGCAAAGTTCAAGGGTAGTTGCTGGATGAATATCAAAATAATAGAACATCTGTTTTTTCCGTGGTCAAGTAAGTTGACTAGAGTAGGTAAAGCTCAAAGTTTCCTTGTAAAGTGGATACCTAGCC